ATATATTAAAAGGACAGGCATGGATAGAGGTTTCCCACAGAGCTCTAACTTTTGCCTTGTAAGTCAGTGGCCAGGGGATTTTTTTTCCCAGCTGTGTGTGAGAAGGTGTCGAAGAGCTGAAGGAGAAGCATTCAGAAGCAGTTTCAGGGTTTCTAGGCAGGAAGTGGAGCTGACAATTATCCACATAACTCGCCGTATCCATCGGGATTGGCTGCTGGTTCTTTAGGAATATGGCCCAATGGAGACACAAGACTTGGAAAAATCCCATCTCTCTGTGGGTTTGTGCAAAGGGGGAGAAGCAGAAACTCTTCATGTCTTGGGGACTCAAGGTCCAAGGAGCTGTGGCTGCAGAGGGTGACCTGGGCTGGTGGCAGGTGAAGTTCTGTTTCTTGACATCCCAGAGTGGGACAGTACAAAGCTCCAAGCACCTCCAACCCCACTGAAGTCTTTGTGATGCTGCAGATCCTGTAGGAAAAGCTGCTGTCACACAATCCACTGGCATTTATGACTTTCATTTTCAATACTTGAGGTCAAAGTTTCAAACTGCAATATTTTTACCCTCAAGACACAGTCATGCACAACCCATCTTTCAATTTCCTATTGCTTCAACCACAATTTAAAATAATTAAATATTGGAAAACAACCCCATAATCTGTGACAGAAGGCAGCTGATGAATCTTTGCCACCAGCACATTTACAGAGTAACTGAGCTCTCTTTTTGAAAAGATCAGTTGCCTCTTTCTTAATCCAAAGTTAAAGATGATTTTTAACTACACATTTGGTGCCAGTTTTTATATTTCTTTTTATCTTTTTTTTTAAACAGAAAACACCTCTGAAAAAAGGAGTGTCCTTTGCTCCTGCAGGGCTGAGGCTTTTTCCCGTGGCTGGGCACAGACTGATGGACCAGCATGGCTGAACACGGGGACACACACAGGGACCAGCAGAAGCTGCCTTTGCCCACCTGAGGCTTCAAGGCCCAAACTCTGAGCAGCCAGGGCTGGAAGAGACTGGCAGGCTTCCTGTTGGCTGTGCTGCCCCAGTTGTGCCTGGCCCAGCTCTGCGTGAGGCAGAGGGAGAACAAGGGGCAGCTCCCTCCCAGTCCCAGCCCAGGGACCCCTCCAGCCCCGGAGCTTGGGGCACTATCCGCACCTGCTGCTCCAGCCAATGCTTCTGCTGGCCCTGACAGAACACCCAAACTGAGGCTGATCCCGAGGGAGCAGCAGCAGGGCCTTGATCTGATCCCTGACTCTGGGCCAGGGCTGCACAAATGACCCCACAGCAGCAGCAGCAGCAGCAGCACATGGAGCTGACTTTCAGCACAGCCTCTGCCCCTCTTCCCTCCCGTGTGCAGTGGTGTCAACACAGTCTGAGGCACCTGGGAGCCCCCAGTGCCAGCAGGGACTTGAGATGGCAGCCCTGGGCTCCTCGAGGTTGTGCAGGGAACGGAGCTGGGCACTCCCTGTCCATGGGGAGCTTCCAGATGGAAAAGGCTGCTGTGCCCAGGCAGCTCCAAGGGCACAGAAAAGAGGGTCTCGACCACTGGATCTGTGCCAGTGCCACAGTCCTGGGCAGCAGCCAGCGAGCCCTGGGGGAACAGAGGGCACAGCAATAGGGACAAAACCAGGCAAGGTCAGAGACTGGGATGAGCCAGACCTGGGAGCAGGGACAGCTGCTCCATTGCACTCTTAGAGAAAGCTCTTGGCTGGTTCAAAGCAGTGAAAGGCGTGAAGGGTAGAGAGGAGGTCACAGCAAACAATGCTCCTGTTTGCACAGCCTCCCCTCTCCGTCTCCCAGAAGGAATTGCATGCACTGTGTTCTTGTCTCTGAGTCGTCTCGTTCAGCATTAGCAGCTCAGCACCAGGAGCTGAAGGAGCTGAAGCCTCAGGCCATAGGAGCTGGGCAAGAGGAAACTTTTCGACCAAAGTAATGCTGCCAACATGGACCTGACTGAATCCAGCAGATGGAATAATGGAATTGTAGAATCCTTTCTGCTAGAAAAGACCTCTAAGCTAAACCAGTCCAGCTGGTCAGCCAGCCGTGTCAAGCCCAGCACTAAACCACGTCCCTGCAGTGCCAAGGCCTGGAAACCAGCGAGTGAGGCCAGAACAGCAGGCCCTGAGCCAAAGGTGACCTCTGGATGTACCTTCCAAGCAAAGGTTATCTTTGTAACTACTCATTAATGAAATATGATGGTCGTTAGAGCTGTGATAGATGTATCCACTCCTTAGTGAGACATGTATTGACCTTTCTGTGTTTAGAAGCCAGACAAGGCCATGAAATCTGACATCGGGCCTTGTTTGGGGCTGTATGGTCAAAGTCAGCTCCCTTGGTTCCTCCTTAAGCCCTGGCCAGGCTTTGGGTAGAACCAGGAGGAGAATGAAACCAGATGTTCCTGCACTAGAAATGCTGTCAGTTTGTTCATTCAGCACTGTCAGAGCTGGGCCCTCTCCCAGCAGGGTTGGAGCCTCACCTAGGGCTGGAGGCACCTGCAGGAATTCCCAGTGTCCAGGAGTGGCTCTGCAGCCCTTGGCTGTGACAGCTTCCCCAGCTGCTGTGTGGGTCTGGGGGATGGTAAAGGCTGAGGGTAACTGGGGCTGGATCTTAATCACTGCAGGCAATCTTTGGTGGTGATGATTGGGAGCATTGCTGAGCTGCTCCTTCTGTGATTCTTTGCAGTTTTGCAGTATAATAAATCACACAATTCCTGAACTTGGTGTCTGTGTCTTTGGTGCTGACCCTGCCCACCAGCAAAACAAAGACTGAGGGCCCACAGAACCAAACGTACCTTGTGACACTGTGGGGCCTGGTATGACCAAGGGGGCCATAGTGACACTGTGGGGCCACATGGAACCAAGGGGGCCGTAGTGACACTGTGGGGCCTGGTGTGACCAAGGGGACCAGAGTGACACTGTGGGGCCACATGGAACCACCGGGACCTTAGTGACACTGCAGGGCCACATGGATCCACCAGGACCTTAGTGACACTGGGATCTCATGGAGAAGATTATTTGGACACTGTGAGGCATCATGGAACTAAGGGGCCATTGTGGTACTGCAGAGCTTCATGAAACCAAGTGGACCAGAGTGAGACTGTGGGACCCTGTGAAACCAAGTGTTCATTGTGACACCATGGGGGCCACATGGAACCAAGGGGCAATTCTGACATAGTGGAGCCTCGTGGAATAATTCCACAGGGCATTCCAAAGTTCCAGGGACTTGTATGTCCAAATATCCAGTGATTACTTCTCCTTGGCACTGCCCCGTTCAGCTCTCCCTGGCCCTACCCCAGCCCTGCAGAGCAGCCCAGCCCTGTCTGGCCCTGCAGCAGGAACTGGAGGCCCTGGAGATCAGGGACATCCACTCTGTGTCTGGAGTGCTCATCAGATGCTCAGCTCAGGCAGCTCCTGCAGCCCCAGGGCCAGGCCTGCTGCCCAGCCCAGCAGCAGAGTTGGCCCTGGGGCTCCTCAGGCAGCGCCTGCTGGCCCAGGGACAGGGCATCCACTTGCCAGATCTCCTCTGCACACCCATGAGCTCCTGCTTTTCTCCTGGCCCATGCCAGCTGCCCCCAGAGCCTTTCCCAGGGGAACACTTCTGTGCTGGCCTGAGCAGCCATTGCTGCAGCCCCTGCCCTGCTCCCCAGACCCTGAGCTGGGGCTGCTGCTCTGCAGAGCACGGCGGCTGTGCTGCCCGGGGCCCTGGGCTGCCTCTGCAGGGCTCTGCTGCTCAGCCTGGCACACAGAGGCAGGTGATGGTGCTCCCTGCACTGACCCCCTCCCACACAGTATCTGTGTGGCTATGGAGGGGGCTCAGAGGTGCCTGCCTTGTTCCAGGGCTGCCAGAGGCACTTGGGTCTGCCCTGGATCCTCCTGGGGGAGATCCCTGAGGGTCAGAGGAGTCAGTGCTCAGATTCCTTTCCCTGTGCCTGCTGTGTCCCTGGGCTGCAGAGCTCTCCTGGCTCACAGCACACATTCAGTCCTTGATCTCAGGTGAGCCCACCCTGCACGGACCTGTGCCCAGGGAGCTCCTCTCCCTGCTGCTCCCTGGCACACACTGTCCCTGCAGGTCCTGTGTGCTCTTCTGTCAGCTCCCAAGGCCCTCCAGACAAACATTCCCCTGCCATCAGCCCTGGCACATGCTGCAGAGCCCCAGGAAGGTTCAGCACAGACCATTCACCATCTGATGGGCACTGGCCACCAACAAGCAAAACCTGCCCCAGACCCAAGTCCCCTGAAGGCCACCCTGGAACCCTGATCTCATCCCACTGAGCCCTGGGAGAACAAGGAACACAAGGAGCCTCTTCAGAGTCTGGTTCTTAGGCCTGGTCCTGAGAGTGGTTCTGGAGGAGAGCTAAGCCTTCCTGCCCTGCCCTCAAGAGATGCCCTTTGCTGATGGAGCTGCTGTGCTGGAGCCCAGCTTTGTTCCAGCAGTGCCCATGGCCTGGCCCGGCCTGTGGCCACAGCAGGGACACGCAGCAGGACAGTGACCAAGCTGCCAGAGCACTCCGGCCTCACAGCCACAGCAGGGCTGGGAAGGACAGGGTGGAGTTGGGCAGAGCAGATGTGGGAAGAGCCAGGGCCATTGTTCCTCCTGTGCTGCTGTGCTGGGAGCCTCTACCCTTCACCTGTGCTCAAAGGCAGAGACAGAGAAGGGCTCAGGAAGAATCCGGGATAGACAGGTTAGAGCAAGAACTTGTTTTTATTTAAATGCCAAGAGAACAAGCCTCTTGTAAGTCTTTTTATTTCAAAAGAAAGGTGGATATTCATGTAGAAATGGTAAGAGTAATACTACAGTATTTTGTGAGAAACATTACAACAATAGAAAAAGTTGCCATAGTAAAAAATAGACAAATAGGGGGAAAAGGCTGAGATTGTAAGGAGTTATATTCTGAAGGTTCTGCAGCAGAAAAGAGAATTTCTTGCTTCTGAAGTTGCAGTCACCAGTTTTCCCAGGACATCCTTGAGCTCCTGGTTCCTCAGGCTGTAGATGAAGGGGTTCAGGGCTGGAGGCACCACCGAGTACAGAACTGACAGGGCCAGATCCAGGGATAGGGACGAGATGGAGGGGGGCTTCAAGTAGACTAAAAAGCCAGTGCTGACAAACAGGGAGACCATGGCCAGGTGAGGGAGGCAGGTGGAAAAGGCTTTGTGCCGTCCCTGCTCAGAGGGGATCCTCAGCACAGCCCTGAAGATCTGCACATAGGAGAAAACAATGAACACAAAACAACCAAAATATAGATCAGCACTTAGCACAATGAGCCAAAGTTCCCTGAGTTTGGAGTGGGAGCAGGAGAGCTTGAGGATCTGTGGGATTTCACAGAAGAACTGGCCCAGGGCATTGCCATGGCACAGGGGCAGGGAAAATGTATTGTCTCTGTGCAAAAGAGCATTGAGAAAGGCACTGGCCCAGGCAGCTGCTGCCATGTGGGCACAAGCTCTGCTGCCCAGGAGGGTCCCATAGTGCAGGGGTTTGCAGATGGACACGTAGCAGTTGTAGCACATGACAGTGAGAAATGCAAATTCTGCTGACATGAAAAAGGCAAAGAAGAAAACCTGTGTAGCACATCCTGAGTAGGAGATGTCCCTGGTGTCCCAGAGGGAATTGTGCATGGCTTTGGGGACAGTGGTGCAGATGTAGCCCAGGTCACTGAGGGCCAGGTTGAGCAGGAAGAAGAACATGGGCGTGTGCAGGTGGTGGCTGCAGGCTACGGCGCTGATGATGAGGCCGTTGCCCAGGAGGGCAGCCAGGGAGATGCCCAGCAAGAGGCAGAAGTGCAGGAGCTGCAGCTGCCGCATGTCTGCCAATGCCAGCAGGAGGAAGTGCCTGATGGAGATGCTGTTGGATTTGCAGCCTTGGGTTATGGTTATTTATAGAGGACTATCACCTGTCTGGAAAGGAAATGGCAGTGCCAGATTAGGCATTTCTTCACTGTGGGAATCGTGGACTGTTGAAAGAAGACTTGAATAGTTGGACAAAGGCTTTATGTTAATCCTATGTATTTTATTTGGAATCCCCTTAAAATTAATTTTCTTCCCGTAACGGAATTTTGCTGAACTTTATTTGAGTTCGGGTTTGTGCTGCTGAGTTTCTGCCTCACAGAGTTTCTGTCTCATATTCAGCACTGCTCTCAGCCTGAACACTGCGGAGCCCAAAAGGGAAAACAGGGCTCCCTGTGCCCCAGTGCAGTCAGACCTGCTGGAACCACACTGGTGCCCTTTGTTCATTTCACCACTTTTGATTTCAGCGTGATCACACTTAAAATTTTCTTGAAAAATAAAGTGAACTTTTTGAATTCTTCAGTTAAAAATTTATTTTCTACAAACACTTCTCTCTTTCCCTGTGCATCTGGACAGGACGTACATTAAAAACCGTACAGACATGAGATAGAAGGAAATGTGTAAGTATCGAGGGTGTTAGCAAGTGAAAGATGGAGCTTTCAGTGAGTAAAGTGAAAGGGGGGAATCCTGCAGCTCTGTGGTATGGGGCCTGGGTTCTGTGGTCCAGTGTGGGGATGCAATGAGGGCATGATGAATATTGCTTGTAATTTTTGGGGGGAACAGATGGAAGTTTTACATCAATAAAATGCATGATGTGTGGTAGTATGTTGACAATATGGGGATAAAGGGGTGGAATTTCCTAGGGTGACGTTATGATGCTTGTATCCCCATTCATCTGTTCTGTTTATGCTGGATATTTTGTTCTGTGCCTTCAAGTCTGTCTCTGAAGAGCGAATGTTTTGTTTTGGTTTTGCTATCAGCCGCTCCCCCACAGCTGGTGCGACACAGAGACAGGGCAGTACATGGTGCTGCTTTTGCTTTTTGCTTTGCTCTTGCTCTTGCTTCTGCTTTGCTCCTGCTTTGCCCTTGCTTTTTACTTCTGCTCATTAGTTAGTTTAGTTAAGCAGTCCAAATTTTTCCCTGGACTGTTTCTCCTTTCCCTTTTTTGGACCTACTCAAACCTGCTCTGGACTGGGACCTGGGAACACCAAGAGTTTGCACCTTGTGACTGCAGCAGCTGCCCCAGCACCAGAGGGACTGAGAACAGAGCGACCACCCCCCAAGAGAGACTTTCTGAATTGGTCATCTTTTTCAGAATGGTGAAAGAGTGTTGTCATCTGGTACTGTTCTTTTTGTGTGCTTGGGAGTGTTTTGCCTGTTAAATAAACAGGTTCTTTCCATTTCTCTCCAAGGAATCCTTCCCAAACAGGCTGAGGGGAGGGGTCGTGTGGGTTTGCTTTCTGGAGGCGCCCCCTTTGGAGGTTTTCTCACAGATTTGCCCTAAAAAAAGACATAGGCACAGCCAGCAATGTCAGGGCTCTGTCAGGTGCCCACCCCTGAGCTGGGCTCATGCCCTGCTCACAGTCCCAGGGCTGTCCAGGCACACGAGTCCTTCCCTTGCACACACTCACACAGAGTTCATTGCAGCATGGGCAGGAGCTCCCTGGGCTCCACTGCCACTGCCAGAGCCTGGCAGGGACCTCAGCCCTGCGGGTGTCACCCTGCCCTTCCCTGCCCTGCCCTGCCCTGCCCTGCACTGCCCTGCCCTTCCTGAGGTGCCCCATGGCCAAAGGGATGAACATGGGGAGCTCTGTGCTCAGGAGCTCATCCCAACCCTGCACTCAGGGGTTCCCAGGGGATGTTACTCTCTGGAAGCTCCAGGAGCAGCTGAAGGTGTTTGTGCTCACTGGGTTTATGTCCCCTCAAACACACATGATGTTCAAGGCTGTGGAATGGCCGTGCACTGCAAACACAGACTCCTGACCCCGTCACTTAATGTGCCTCCATGGAGGGAAGAACAACCTCTGTGACCTGGAGTGAGAGGCCACTGCTGTAGCAGTGCTGGCTTTGCAAGGGCAATGCTGGCACAGCCCCCACCCTGATCACTGCCACACTTCTGCTGATCACTGCTGGTTTCCTCTCCAGGACCCTGTGTTGGGCACATCCCTGAGAGCAAACTGAGAAGAGGATTGAACCTTTCAGGCCCTGCACTGGGGAGATGCCCTTGCACAATGGAAATGCTGCTACAGAGCCCAGCTCTGTCCCAGCAGTGCCCACGGTCTGTCCCTGCCTGCAGTCCCTGGACAGTCACACAGCAGGACAGGGACTGACCTGGAAGAGCCCTGAGGCCTAAAACCAGCACAGGGGCTCTGAAGGGGATTGTGGGAGTGAAGGAAGGGGAGGTTATGGAGGAGAAGCCTGGGGGCTCCCTGGCAGGGAGGAGAACTGGGGTTCCCTTTTCTGCTCGAGCTCTGCCCAGAGGCAGTGACCCTACAGATCCAGAGAAGCCAGGGAGGAAAGATGTCAGGCACACAGGGCAATACAGAGTTCTTTATTTTGTGTAAGCACATAGGGAGTACAGAGGTAGTACAGATCCTGGTTTATACAGTCTCTTGGTGCAATACTAAAGAAAAATACTAAAATAAAAACAGTAGCTTCAAAAATTGTTGTGTGAACAAATTCACAAAAGTGTAACAGCAGTGTAAATAGCAAAAAATACAGGACACAGAGTGAGAATTAATGAGTAAGACCATAAGAGCTATGTAGAAGAATGAGTGTTTATTGCTTCTGAAAATCATTTGTTATAATTTTCCTCAGACCATTCTAGAGCTCCTGGTTCCTCAGGCTGTAGATGAGGAGATTCAGGGCTGGAGGCACCACCGAGTACAGAACTGACAGGGCCAGATCAAGGGATGGGGAGGAGATAGAGGGGGGCTTCAGGTAGGCAAAAAAGCCAGTGCTGATAAACAGGGAGACCACAACGAGATGAGGGAGGCAGGTGGAAAAGGCTTTGTGCCATCCCTGCTCAGAGGGGATCCTCAGCACAGCCCTGAAGATCTGCACATAGGAGAAAACAATGAACACAAAACAACCAAAACCTAAACAGACACCAAGCAATGAAATACAAATTTTTCTGAGTTTGGAGTGGGAGCAGGAGAGCTTGAGAATCTGGGGCACCTCACAGACGAACTGGCCAAAGACATTGCCATGGCACAGGGGCAGGGAAAATGTATTGGCTGTGTTCAGCAGAGCATTGAGAAAGCCACTGGCCCAGGCAGCTGCTGCCGTGTGGGCACAAGCTCTGCTGCCCAGGAAGGTCCTGTAGTGCAGGGGTTTGCAGATGGACACATAGCGGTCATAGCACATGATGGTCAGGAGGGAAAATTCTGCTGTGATAAAGAAAAGAAAGGAGAAAATCGGAGCAGCACATCCTGAGTAGGAGATGTCCCTGGTGTCCCAGAGGGAATTGTGCATGGCTTTGGGGACAGTGGTGCAGATGGAGCCCAGGTCGCTGAGGGCCAGGTTGAGCAGGAAGAAGAACATGGGCGTGTGCAGGTGGTGGCCACAGGCTACGGCGCTGATGATGAGGCCGTTGCCCAGGAGAGCAGCCAGGGAGATGCCCAGCAAGAGGCAGAAGTGCAGGAGCTGCAGCTGCCGTGTGTCTGCCAATGCCAGCAGGAGGAAGTGCCTGATGGAGCTGCTGTTGGACATTTCCTGCGTCTGCACATTTCAAACTGCAGAAGGAGGAAAGACAGGGCAGTGGAGGGGAAATTTCTCACAGAATAGTCAAAGGCCTTTCTCATTTATTCTTTCCTTCCACTAAATACCTCCCCCGTCCATGTCTCAGAGACCTTCCTTCACCTTTGTTGCTGGAGCCCTGATTGCTGCTGGCCAATGCTGTGTGAGCAGCTGGACCTTGGCCTGCAGAACACCTGGGAGTCGGCCCTGACCCCCAGTCAGTGCAGGGCAACAATGAGGGAGAAGTGCAGGAGCTGCAGCTGCCACGTTTCTGCCAATGCCAGCAGGAGGAAGTGGCTGATGAGCTGCTGTTGGACATTCCTTCACTCTGGGCATTGTGAGCTGTTCAAAGACAACATTGACAATTTGGACAAAGTACCTTGACTCAATCCTATGCTAATTTTTTACACAATCTCTAAAAATTGCTTCTCTTTCTTTAAGGAAATTTCATTTCTCTTTTTTTTTTTTTAAATTTTTTTTATTTGAGTGTAGGTTTGGACTGCTAAATAACTGTGTGTTTTCTGGAAGGGACAGAAGTCCTGTTCTTAGCATTGCTCTCAGGCTGAACACTGGGGAGCCGAGAGGGAAAACAGGACTCCCTGTGCCCCAGTGCAGTCAGACCTGCTGTTCCCAAACAGGTGCCATTTGCTAATTTCACCTCCCTCGAGTACAGGTAGTACAAATTTATAATTGTATTTTAAAACGACATGGCCTTTTTAAAGACTCCAGGATCAAAATCAATCTCTCCAACTCTTCTCTCTTTCCCTGTGCATCTGGACAGGATGAGATACCAAGGGTTGGTCTGTCTCTCTGCTGACTGGAGTTGTGCCTACTGGGAACTGTTTCTCTCTAACCAAGCCTTGTCCCTGCCTGTGCTGCCAGGGCCCAGCCCAGCCCTGGGGGCTCAGCTCTGCCCTGCAGACCCCTCCCAGCACAGGGCACTGCCCAGG